GATACCCCGATTACAAAATGGCGTTTGATCTAACGACAGACGCTTCGGCCTACGGCATTGGCGCAGTGCTGTCCCAAGAGGGTCGTCCTATTACAATGATTTTTAGGACACTGTGCGCCAGAGAGGTTAACTACGCTACCAATGAAAGGGAGCTGTTAGCCATAGTCTGGGCGCTAGCCAAATTGCGACACTATCCTTATGCAGTCAAAGAAATAAACATCTTTACCGACCACCAACCCTTGATGTTTGCGGTATCGGAATCCAATCCGAACGCCAAGATCAAGAGGTGGAAAGCACGCATCGATGAGTCCGGCGCACGAATATTTTACAAGCCCGGAAAAAATAACGTCGTTGCAGATGCACTTTCCAGCAACAACTCAACGTTGTTGATGGCCAAGAACCACAGTCGTGTGCGGCCACAATCCACAGCGAACTTTCGCTCACATACACTATCAAATCAACGGACAAACCCGTGAATTGCTTTCAGAACCAGATAATATTAGAAGAGGCGCGCTCCCCTTGGAAACGCACTTTTATATTATTTGGGAATAAGAGGCGATACTCGATCAATTTCTCGAGCAAACAAACTTTGCTAGAGGAAATCGCTAACATCTTTATCCCTAACGGTGTAAACGCCTTCCACTGTGATCTTCACACGTTGGCGCTAATCCAGGACGATGTGGTGCGACAATTTCCAGCCACGAGATTCTGGCATTGCAAAAATAGGGTCACCGACATTTTCGCGGTTCAGGAGAGAAAAGAAATCCTCACCGTCGAGCACAACAGAGCTCACAGGTCGGCCCAAGAAAACGTGAAGCAGGTACTCTCTGAATACTACTTCCCGAAAATGATCAAATTGGCGAGCGAAATAGCAGCCAATTACAAAACATGCGCCAAAGCGAAGTACGACAGGCATCCAAAGAAACAGGAGCTCGGAGAAACTCCAATCCCGGGCCATGTAGGAGAAATTTTACACATCGATATTTTCTCCACGGATAAGAAATACTTCCTCACCTGCGTGGACAAGTTTTCGAAATTCGCCATGGTTCAGCTGATTCCATCTAGAACCGTAGAGGATCTAAAACCACCCCTGCTACAGTTAATGAATATTTTCCCCAAAGCCAAAGCCATCTACTGCGACAATGAACCATCATTGAAATCGCAAACAATAGTGGCTATGCTGGAAAACCATTTCGGCGTCAGCATCTCGAATGCACCGCCCCTACATAGCGTCTCAAACGGACAGGGGAGCAATTCCACAGCACGTTAATCGAGCTCGCTAGATGCCTAAAAATTGATAAAGGCATAAGTGACACGGTGGAATTGATCTTGCTGGCCGCAGCCAGATATAACAAGTCCATCCACTCTGTCATCAACAAGAAACCGGCTGAGGTCATGCGGGCAGATCCGGACGATCCACAAAGTGATGTCCACGAAAAAATCAAAAACGCCCAAAATTTGACAAGAAACCGAGAAAACGCTTCTCGGCGGAACAGAGTGTTTCAGGTCGGTGACAAAGTCCTAGTAAAGTCAAACATACGACTAGGCAACAAACTCACTCCTCTATGTAAGGAGAAGACCATCGAGGCAGACTTGGGGACCACAGTCCTAATTAAAGGGAAGGTGGTCCACAAGGACAACCTCAGGTAACCCGAGCAGAGCCTAGTTGCAGTTCCCTCGGAGGTTTGTTTTCATTCTTTCCATTTGTAGCCACTTGGCAAAAGTTTTCAGTTACATTTTTATTATTTATAGCCAATTGCCATAAGTTTTTTACATTTTTCATTACCCTTAGCCACTCGGCATAGTTTTCACTACGTATAGCCGCTCGGCATTAATTTTTTATATCCATTGGTGGTGGGCAACTCTAAGTCGAACATGTATTAATCAACCACAAATTTTACAGGCCTATATTAGTGATTATTTCCAAGCAAATCGCCGAAGATTTGGAACAGATAAAGTTCACAGAAGCACGACGAGTTGATGCGCACAATAGTCAGATCGAAATTAATACTAGAACACAAGTTCGCATTAACGAACTCTCAACCACCGTCAATCAAATTTTGAAATTTTCTAAAAATGCGCAAGTTGCTTCAGGCCTCCTATTCGAGATGTTATTAACTCGTAATAGGATTATTGTTATGGAACTACAGAATTTGATGCTAACTATCGCACTCGCCAAAATTAACGTAGTCTGTCCAAGCATCTTGGATCATGCAGATCTGGAGCAAGTTTGGGTTGAGGAGCCCACCGACACACCCATAAGAGAAATTTTGTCCGTTGCGTCTGTTAAAGTTTTACAATCTCCTAACATATTGCATTTCATAATTAAGTTCCCCAAGATTAAAACGGCCTGCAACAAAATCACTATCCCGGTGGCACACCACGATACGGTGTTAAGGTTAGAGGATAATGTGGTGACGGAGTGTAACGGAAAAATCCGCACCGTTAAGAACTGCTCCATGTCACCCGGGGCAACGTTCTGTCAGTTATCTTCGGTGAGCTCGTGCGCCCAAGAACTCCACACTGGAGAAGTGGCCCATTGCGATACACAGCAGAGCAATCTTCATCCGATCACCTATGTCGACGAAGGAATTATCGTAATCAATGATAGACCAGCACTTGTGCGCGTGGATAATGGAACGACCATCCACATTAGAGGCACGCACCTGATAACTTTACTGAGAGTGCTATGGTCAATGAGACCGTATTTGTAAATCATGACATGGTCCTGAACAGGGCACCAGGAGTAGCTAACTCCCCTGTTCTTAACATCTCTATGAAACACGAGATCCTGAGTCTCCCATATCTTCACCGCTTGAGTATCGACTGATCCAGATAGCGCTAATTGCAGGAGCACTTTTCTGCGCTCTTATCTGTGTCGGCCTAACCTACCAGCGAGCCACAAGGGCCAAAAGATCCGCGCCCCAACTGAAGGAAATCCTCACCCAAATAGGATCGGCCGAGGGCGACCTTAATCTTGAGGGGGGAGTAGTTAACTAAGTTAACCGGACTTATTGTCCGTACTACAGCACCAGTCAAATTGCTGATCAAGCATTTGGCCGGAAGCTCTCACATAGCCGGCAGAAGCTCTGCACATTGGCAGAGGCCGCTATGAAGCTTTTCCTTTGTTAGCTCTTAAGCAGTTCGTTTTGAATATCAATAAAGAGCACAAGCTCGAAAACTTACTCCGGCCTCCGTCGTTATTTTTTATAACTCACCCCAACTATCTGAGTCTCTAGGCCAGTAGTTAAAGGAAGACAGTCATCTTCCCAACCTAATCGACATAATTCTTCAAGAGAAGACACCATCCCCCGTTACCATACGAGGGGCTGCGGATTATCTACGGCCAACCGGCTAAACATCAGTGACTGCGGCGAGGGATCCCCCCGGCAGCCACCACTTATAATAATTTATATATTGGACGTATCAATTTTTAGTAGGTACCTTAAGTGTTCATAATGGAAGTACGCGTAGAATGAAAATGTTAGGATTCAGCCTTAACAGAAAATAAAGGTAACACAGATATCAATAACGGGAGATCAAATTTAAACTGCACCAATTAGTGTCAAGTTCAACTTCCAAGATCTAATTCGTTTAAATAATTTTATTGAAATAGGAATTAAAATAAGTGATTTTGAAAATTATATATTCCCTACTCAACATCATTAGCGAAACATCTGAACGAAATTGATATCAACTAAATTAATCATGAAAAGCTCACAAATTTTAGCATACCACAATTTTTTTATCATAACCCTATATAAAAGCATTTCAAAATAATAATAAATTATTGTAATATATTGCCTTATAAAATATTCTAGGCTGAATGTAATATGTAAAAATATTTGTATATACCCAAATAACATTGTAACAGGATTTAAGACTACTTAGCAACTTAATTCCTAATTATGATAAAAAGTTATTTGCCAGTGTGTTATCACCAGTGTGCCGCTTATTGAAGCGTTATGAATCACGTTATGTAAAAAATCTGACTCCTTAGCATGCGTTCAATTAATGGTTTTCTGAAAAACACATACCGGCTACGCACTGTACCCATGTCAGCAGCCTCTTAACGTACAAACACATTGAGCACTCTGTTACATAAACACATAAACACATAAACGTACATAAACAGTTCAGCCCTAGTTCAAGCGTAACGCGAGCACCAGCTTGAAGGCTTTCTTACATAACTGCATAGTCAGCATTTCCACGCTGGCCCAGCGCTGACCGCATACCATGTGTGCCTATAGCAATCCTCCCCCTCTAACGCCGTTCGTCCATTCGAATATATTTCGATAAATATATTCTATAATTATTAACTCGGTTTCCAAATTAATAGACGCAGAGCAAATTTGTTAAATTTGTTAATTTGTTGGTAATGTTAGCAAGCTCCCTCTAACGTCCGCAAGTCGGTCATTACTTTCACGCTTACACTTTTGTAAAAGTACAATCGGATAAGCCAAACATTTTTTTTCCCGCCCACACTTGGTGTGCTGATGTGTCAGGAAAACTAGCCGAGTCGATTTGGCATTGTCCGTCTGTATGTCCGTATGATCGTCGAGATCTCAGGAACTATAAAAGTTTCCCGATGTTGCCACCCACACTAACGGCCCAAAACTGCCACACACACACGTTTGAAAACAAATTGTTTCATGTTAATATTACATTTCCGATTTCTATCGATATGATACAAAAATATTGAGCCTTCTTTCACGCTGTATAAAAACCCGAATAGTTCGAATTATTGAAAGGTTTTAACGATGCAAACTCAATGTAAGGACCGTGTTTGCCATGTGTTCACTGCTCCCCTATCCGTCTCGTTGTGTCATATTGGCAGTGAAAAAAGTGGATTGGACCAAGGTTGCAGCTTTACCAACTTTGTCTTTTTATCTGTAAGATTCTTAGTTTCCGTTTTATCTATGAAATCTTTTTTTAAATGTTTTTTTTAATATTCTTAAATATCAGAAACATTACTTCGCGCCATATTTATACATTTATAATTCCTTATTATTATATGTCGTATAACTTTATTCATAAAAAGTAACATCTTATTAATAATATTTAATCGAAATAGGGTATGCAGTTTTTCTCTTTTTACATAGAAGTATAGCCATATGGGTAACATACGAGCTTAATAAAATGTTGTTTTCGATATTAAAATTATATGAATATCTTTTGATTTCCATGTCAAAATAGCTATTGACATTACACAAGTTTTTTATACTGCTGAAATGTGGTCCGGAAGTTCTCCGTTTTCGTATTTTTCCCACATTCGTAGAAATAATTGTTCTAATCCTTTGGCATACTGTGAGCAATCAAATAGGGGACTCTCTACGCGGGCTTTCCATACTTTTGCTCGTAGGGCTTTCAAATATTCTTTTTTTGTTCCCAGTCGTATAGCAATATTTTGATATTCATCTCTTGTACGCGCTATTAACTCTGGGCATCCAAGGGTAGCAAGCTGAGAGGCAGCCACTCTGAAACAAAAATGAAATCATAAAATTAATATTTGTTTATAAGCAAACAAAAATTTTAAATAGATAGAGAAAAATTAATAAAATTGGTGCACAGAAAATCATCATTTAAATTTTGATGCTTTTCGGAAACAACCGGCTAACTGACTTTTTGCCCAGTCAATTTGTTAGTAACATCCATAACGCATACACTCCCTCGCATAAGTCTGCGTACACCCACGAAAAATTTTAAAATGAAACTTTAAATACAAATGGTTTGGTCAGTAATGCAAATGTCGCTGAGACATAGTATCAACTAACATCCGAAACGCACCATCGGCGACCACTTTAAACGCTGAGTCTTTGTATCGATTAGCACTTGAAATGCTGATACAAACGATCGATACAAACATCGGGGCCACCCAGAACCTCTTGACGACACAGAATCGCATCCGCTCCACTTCCACTTTTCGGTCGATCAGCATATTGGAATAAGCACTATATATCGAACCAAGTTGTCAAGTATGAGAAGAGAAATATAAAAATCATTCAGAATTTGAACCTCAACTACAGCGGTCGTCTTAATATTGTGAAATCACAACCAACTTATTGTTTTATACTCCATTCTCGAACCTACGGGGAGTTAACTCGCGCATCGTTGTCAAACTTCGCTGAAACCAATAAACATAATCGTTAGAAATCGCTGCACAAAAATCCCATCTTTTCATTGCTCGAAAATAGCTAATAAAAAAGCTTATTAGCTTAACAGTAGACTTAAGTATAAAATTAAGAGTAAAATACAAATGTTGTTAAAAACTAGTATATAAAATACGTTAGCAAAGGCAGTAAATTAAAATTAAGTTAAAAACCAAATTGTCTAATTATATGCAGACCTGACCAAATCATTTGTGATTTGGGGGTGTACGCAGACTTATGCGAGTAAGTGTACATACAATAACACAAATCGATCTTCTCCATTTGTAGTTTAAATTATGAGTAAACAAATTTAACATTATGTTATTATAAAAAGCATTGAGGTAATTGGATGTACACATAACGCCTACTGCATTTCTGGTGAACATCAACATTTTACATCCAAAATCTTTACATCCAATCTGTCAACTTATTTCGATTCGGATTTTGTGGATTTGGGGTTTGCGGTTAATTTAGTAGGTACTTAAAAAAAATATTTATTTATTTAAAAAATGATCTATGTATATGTTATCTTTAAGAAATTTTTTTTTAAATATCTCGTTCGTTTTAATATTGTGCAACTTGTGTAAACATTTGTTGGCAGTTTTACTTCCAAATTGTTTATAAATAAACAAATAAAGCACATTGTACGCAAAAGAGAGAGAAAAACACCATATCCTATGTGTAAAAATATGTACGTACGTAATACACTTCAGCCAATTCAGAACTACTACCTACTAATAGTTAACTACTTTTTAAAAAATTAATTTCGAATGGGGTATTTAAACGTTTGTGTAGTGTTAATACACTATAATAAATTTACTTATTCGTCACTCTTTGATAGAAAATGGTCGGGTTAAGAAATAAATATTTGTATACCCATTAATCGTAGAGTAAAAGCCTATACTAGATTCGTTGAAAAGTATGTAACAGGTCAAAGGTAGTTTTTGTTCAGGATCAATAGCCGAGTCGAACTGGCCATGTCCGCTGTCCGTCCGTATGAACGCCTAGATCTCAGGAACTATAAAAGCTAGAAAGTTGAGTTCAGGCATGCAGCGTAAGTTGGGGTATGATGTTGGGGTGTGGCAGTTTGGGTGGTGTGTGGGCGTTGGGAATGGGCATGACAAAAATTTTTTAGCAAATTGATAGAAATTTACAAAATTAATAGAAAAATTATATATCAAAACCTTTTTCAAAAGTTTGGCAGCTTTGGACTGCTTGTGGGCGTTAGAGTGGGCGTGGCAACATTTGTAAACAAACTTGCGCTGGATCTATGGCTCTGCAAGCTTCAAGCTCAATTTAAATCTTCTAGCTTTTATAGTTCTTGAGATCGCGGCGTTCATATGGACGCAAGGACGGAAAGACGGGCATGGCCAGTTCGAATTGGCTATCGATCTTGACCAAGAATAAATATAATTTATGTAGTCGGAAACGCTTCCTTCTACGTGTTACATATTATTCAACGAACTTAGTATACCCTTTTACTCTACGAATAACGGGTATAAAAAGCGAGAACAATTAATAAGCAGAAAAATTTAAACACATCAAAACTTTTGGCGTTCGGGGTTCATATGTTCAGACGGACATTTAAAAAGTTATTAAACGACCATCGTAAAAAAAACTACATTTTCTTATGCAGAAGACACAAATGACTAAAGTTATATAGCCCGCGGGGTGATCGAAAATTTGTTGAAGAGTGTAACATAAACATACCTAGAGGCTAACGTCTCTCCTGGCAACGTTACGACAGGAGTACCCGTCCATAAAACGTCCATGGACGTGGTGTGTCCATTACATAATGGGGTATCAAGACATATATCAGCTAATTGGCCCCGGCGTACGTGCTCTTCTTTTGCAGCTACATTGGAAAATATTACTCTATCAGGAGATATTCCTAAAAAGAAAATGTTCCGTTACATTTTTAAATCATAAATAAAAAACTCATATTTACCAAAGTCACTGACGGTTTTTTTAATATTTTGTTCACCAACTGCCGGAAATCGTAATAACCACAAAACAGACTTAGGCACATTTTTTAAAATTTCTACCCATGACTCGAGGGTTTGTGGATCGATTTTGTATAGCTGATTAAAATTGCAATACACAACAGCGTCATCGGGTAACATATATTGACGACGAGTGGTTATTACAATATTTTGTGGTACCTCTTCACCAGTAGCGGCCTTGTTGTTAGTTTGGGTAGTGGCCAATCCGTTTTGAACCACAACGCCATTTAAAGATGTTTGCACTTGACCAGCTGCTATCATGGATACTATTTGTGTTGTGTTTGGTAACTCTGCAACTTTATGAGTTATCTCGACTGGTTTTTGTGCGTTAACAACTTCTTTTATCTCCTTTACATCTGTGTTTTCAACAAGTGGAGATAAATCTGTTGCATTTATAACCGTTACATTATCAACAACGGAAGATTGTTGTTTGTCACAGACAATTATACGTTCCTTTAAATGTGGAAACATTTGCTTATGATCACCTATAAAATATGTGTGCGGCATATAAGATAATTTTTCACTATATTGGTAAGCCAATTCTATTGGACTAGTTACAGAATCCGTAATAATGTAATCCATAAAACTAGCCCCACTAGTACCTGGATAGCCTAACCACATAACTTGAATAGGAGCAGGACGAAGAGCAAATATTTCATTTCTTGCGCCCTTTGTGTAACCATTCATATTAACCAAAATATTTATACCGTCATTAAATATCTTGTCCGCTGCTTTACCATTACAAGGAATCTGAGAAAGATCCACAAAGTTTTCTGACTCTCGGCTGATTTTTTGTCGAAATGTTGTACCATCATCTGGACTTAAGGCATAACAAAAGATTTCCACTTTTGAACGATCATGAAGACCTGGAACAGATTGCATTAAATGCGAGGTAGGATGATTTCCAAAGTCCGAGCTAAGATAACCTATTCGAAGCCTTCCCTTTGTAGGTAACTTCTTTAAGAAATTATATGGTTTTTTATGAAGCACGTGAACTTTTTCTAAACATAAGTTAGCGTGTCGCGCTGCAATTGCTTTCCGACAATCATGTGTCAATGGATAAAGCATCGAGTGGTGTGGATGAACGGATGGTAAACGGTTTTTTTCAAGCTGCTCAGTGACAATACTAACCAGTTTTTTCATTCGAATATCATAGTCAGTCCAATCACAAACAATTTGCAAGCAATGAGCCAAATTGCAGTATGCATCAGGAAAATCAGGTTTTAGCTTTAGAGCTGTTCGGTAAGACTGAATTGCTTCAGGAATATTTCCGGAATCTTTGTGTATGCTTGCCAAATTACTATGCGCATCAGCAAATGCTGGGTTAATTTGAATAGCTCTCGTGTAGCATTGCAATGCCCCGTTAACGTCTTGTAATTCTTTAAGAGTATTTCCCATGTTGGAATATGCATCCGCAAAAGTGGGCTGGATTCTAATAGCTTCCTTATAATGCATTAATGCTTCTTTTAATTTGCCTTGCTGTTGCAAAACAGATGCCAAGTTTGAATGAGCAGCAGCAAAATCTGGGAAAACTTCTAAAGCTTTTAAATAAAGTCGCGTAGCTTCTTCAATATACCCTTGCTCCCTCTTTATGTTAGCTAAATTATTAAGGGAATCTGCATGATTTGAACATAGCCTTAGTGCTGTGTTATAGCAGTCCTCAGCTTCTTTAACCTATAAAGATTATTAGGTTAGTGCAAACCAAAAACATAAATAATAACCTACCTGCCCCTTTTCTTTAAGAGCGTTTGCAAGGTTGCAATAGGCATCTGGGAAATTTGGTTGTAGTTCTATTGCCCTCCTATATGTATCGATCGCCAAATCAATTAGACCTTGTTCATAGTAAACGCATGCCAAATTCCCATGAACTACAGCATTATTCGGAGATAAATTTAATGCACGTAAATAGGCGGCCACAGCTCTAGAAATGATTTAATATTTTAAAATATGTAACGCATTAGTATCAAATATGAAGTCTTAAATATGTTGCATTAATATGTTGTAATATTTATTGCAGTCTTGTAGTATTGTATTCTATTAAAATTAGTAATTCGCTCAAATAAATTAAACGTACCGATTCCATAAAACCTTTAACTTGAAAAGAATTGAGAAAGTAGTTCTAACGTTGCTCGGGCATTTCAACACATTTGTATATTTTTCATCCGAACATCTTATTTTTATTATTGTATAAACCATCACGGATTGATAATTCATTTAATTAACAAGCTTATTGCGATTAATAATGTATTATTTTTTTTACAATACAAAACATTTATAATGATTATTTGCCGACAAAGAAAATATTATTAATCATACATAAAAACGTACGTCCAATATTAGTTTCGCTTAATATTGTTCTGAAAAATATATACATCTGTACATACATCATACATAACCACGTATACGAAGAAATACATATATTTCAGTGACGTAAATAAACGCAAATGTTTTCACACTGTTAGACAACTAAATAGGTTCAATGATTATCATTTTTCGAAAACAAAGATGTAAAATGAAATAGTTTTCAAATATTTTTTTATATTGTGTGTGTGAATTATGCAATTATACCCTTGCAATTATAGTAGGTATAATAATTTATACAAACAATTTTCTTCGATATTCGACCTGTTTTCAAGGCCAGATATGCATGCATTTTATATAGTTATCCGATTTTTATATAAGTACAATTCCTAATCCTGAAATAATATATTAAAAACGTGAGAACGTTATAGTAGGTACCCGTCACTCAGCTAGAAGAAAACTGTTTGTTGGCATTTCCCTATTCCAAGAAAAATAGTAAAATATTAACATCTCTTTGTAAGCGTTAGAGTTGGCGTGTCCAAGTTTTGTTTTGGCATATTGACAGTAGTTGACAAGTCCAATAATAAAATGAAAAAATATATTAAAAACATGTTTTTCAGTTTTCGTGGAAATGGCAATCTTCTGAAACAATCTTGCGTTCCTATAGTTAACGACATTACGGGATCAATTGGAAGGACAGACGGACTTGGACAAATCAACTCGGCTAGTTATTTTAATCAAGAATTAATACACTTTTCAGCAAATGGTAGGGTACACTACCCTACGATTTCGAGAGAAAATCAATATGTTTTCGGGACAATTCTTTTATTTTTTGTATTATATCCTATTAGATCAAATTGTCCAGTCAATCTACCAATGTCCGTCCGTATGGACGTTGAGATCTCAGGAACTATTAAAGCTACAAAGTTGAGATTAAGCATGCAGATTTTTAGCAATTTCTATCGATATGCCAATATCGATATGACATTTTGACTGTCGGGAACTATTAAAGCTACAAAGTTGAGATTAAGCATGCAGATTTTTAGCAATTTCTATCGATATGCCAAAAAAACATTTTGACTGTCCACTATAACTTTCACAAGCGTCCCAAAACTGTAACTGCCACAGCCCACAAGATCTTCCGATCTTTTCGATTTCTTCCGATATTTCAGAAAATGTTGACTCGTTCCCACTTGCACTAGGTCAGTAACTGGTATCTGCTATTCGGGGTACTCGACTATTGCATTCTTGTTTTTAAACAATATCTTGCTTTTCAATAAAGCTTTTCAGTTATGTTTTATGCTTCCCTTTATGTTAGACCGCGTGCATAGGACGATTTGGTTAAAAACCGAAGTTTATTGTGGTAGCGATGAGTCAAATCGTCCTCAAAATCGGTATGTGGAACGCCGACCGACTTGCTAACATAACCCATTAAACTGGAGCTTTTTGTGCTAAATCATAATATTGACTTCATGTTGGTTAGCAAAAACACAGCTTTGCTCTAGGTCGTACTATAAGCTACATGAGTATAATACCCATCAAGCAACTACGTTTCCAAGCTGCTTAAAATTTCATACACAAAGCCGACAATACATGGTCCGACCCAGAAATCTAGACGAGCTAGAAAACGTTTTCAGTCATTTGACCTTGCGGGTAAGCCCAGAAGAAGTTTGCCATCATATTTATAGGAAATCATAGGAAAATGAATACATCAGAGAAAAGCGCGGGCATCGACGGCATTGACAGTAGAATTGCCAAGGCTTTGCCTAAGAAGGGAATCCTGTTTCTTGTTCTCCTAATAAACTCAATGCTGCGTATCCACTACTTCCTCTTTCAATGGAAGTTTGCTGTGAAAACGATAATACCAAAACAAGGAAAACCGTAGAACTTTGTCGTGTCATATCGACCAATAAGATTACTGTGCACATTACTGTTATGATTCACGTTATATTTTCCCATTAAGTTGGTTGATTAACGTTTTAATACATATATATGTTACATAAAAAAAAGGCAACTGTTGAAGCGATCATTACTTACTTATTTAACACAAAATTGGATATTTCCTATTATACCCTTTACACGTAGAGTAAAAAAGTATACTAGATTTGTTAAAACGTATGTAAGGTAGAATATAGTTAAATATATACATATATTCTTGATCAGGATCAAGTCGATCAATGTCGAGATCTCCGGAACTATAACAGCTAGAGAGTTGATACGCCCAATATTTTGTTGGTGGCGGCAATAATTCCTCTCTCCCCGCTTGCATAAAATTGAGAGTATAATAATCTAAAAATAGAATCTACTTGCTTGTGTGAGTGAAAACAGTAAGCAAAAAAGTGTGCATGTGTGCGTAGTTGTGCTAGAAGTCGATTTTCGGTCCGAAATCAATTTTGATTCAAGAAACAAATTTGATTATTGTTTTGGTCAATTTCGTTGTAATATGATCTAATAAAATATTATTTAAAACTTGTTCCCGTGATAATTCTTTTTTTAAGAAGTTCTTTTAATAAAATCAAATCGCCGCTCGAATTAGTTACCGTTTACAACTGAACTTTTCATATAAACTTTTAATGAATATAAATACGGATGTATTATTAAAATTTTGAAAAAAAAAATAGCAAATGATAAGCTCTATATATTTGTCAGCTTTAAGCAAACGGATTTAGAGGAACTAAAAGCAGAAAAATAAATTTGGCACGCCTTTTTACCCACCCAAAAATGCGAGGTTTTCAAAAATATCAAATTAGAATATATTATAACAAAAACATTCAACAAAATAATATTTGCATTTGCAAAATACTGAAAATTGATCTTTTACATAAGTATGAATATTTTTTTACTTGTATACTAGTAATTTAAATAGTTAAAAAACTTTATATGCTAATTGTCTATTGCAAAATTGAATTCTTGAGGCAGGACCAGCGCACCTAAGAATCACTAACTTCAAATATATTTTCCACCTCGCGAGCTGCATTCTCTAACGACATATTTTCTAGTATAAAGTAATCTTTGAAATTAATTAGGTATTATTATGTACATTTATATTTTTTTTCATATTATGATTTATTTAAATAATTATCATGTTAAGGCAATGCAAAATTAGAGCGAGTTACAAGAGATTACAAGAGAGTTGCTGGCTCTAGAGCGCTCTCTCTCTGGCTCTTGAACAAAAGTTCGAGAGATCCTGGAGCCAGCTCTAGAGCCAGCACGAAAAAATCGTGTGCAAAAAAATCGTATGGCGTTACGCATCTCATTATTCTAGTGTCTTTGGAAACGGGTACTTGATAGTCGGTTAACTGGACTATAGCGTTCTCTCTTATTTTTTTTTTTATGAAAGGTGCTTTCCAAGCCGAGGTGGTTAATCGTTGGAGAAACTGTGTCCAAAAAGTGTTAGTCAATGCCTTCAGCAACGACTTCGTTGTATGTTCCCGACTTCATTGTCGATTAAAAAAGGTTTAACAATGACGAAGATCGTGGAGATCAATTCAATCATGTGACAAAACACACTAATTGATAGTATACACAGACGCATTTAAAAGCTATACTATCCAAGAGTCAGTTTGTCTCTTGTCGGTGCTCATAAATATCAAAAATATTGAGATATATTTCTAAGTCCTTGCTTTAGGTAATTTTTTTTTGACCAGACTCGGAATTCGATCTTTGCAATAGACAATTTTTTTTGGGTTCCATCAATATTAGATTGGTGCGAGCGGTTGGATCATCCAAAAAGGAAGAGACACACCGCAGATTCCATAAAGAATACTGGATACTGTAGGGCGACCATCAAGACACATACCATGTCTGTAAGGTAGTAGGAACCAAGTAACCGGAGTCTTAATTTGGCGTATGGCCATCAATGAAATATAATTTATGTTCTTATTTTTACTATAAAATTCCGAATAACTTTTATTAAATTTGTTATAAACAAAAAACTCCTAAAATAATTAAAATGACTAAAATATCTATTTTTATAATTAATTTTAGTATTTTCTTATATAAAACGTAAGTGGGGAATCGCACATTGTGTGGTTTTGCCATTGAACCTTTAAAAATTTATCCTAATACAGCAAATATGACCACATGACTTATCTATACCGTGGTGGTGTAGTAGTGCTAATCCCTACGGTCATAGGCAGCCTGATTGCAGAACGTCAAGTGAAGAACGTCAACTGGCTTTGCATGCCACGGGGTACACACTGGTTGTTGTCCTAGCCGCAGCTTCCACAGACTTTAATTTCACTAAAAGCATATAAAATATTGCTTTGGTCGTATCGACTCGTGTAGTAAATTTGATCAAGTATGTACATATATGTATACTTTATACAGTCGAAAACGATTTCTTCTACCTGTTAAATTCTTTTCAACGAATCTAGTATAACCTTTTAGTCTACGAGTACCGGGAATAATAATAATATGTATGTGACGAATTGGCAGATACCCTAGACACCGAACTCAGTCAACAGCCGAGATTCCCATTGTTCTATTATGTATTTGTCAATAACATAAGTCCAGAACCCACTATAGAAATTATTCAAGTCAATACGACGTGAACATTTTAACTCCTTAGACATCTCATGCTTTCGATCGGTGGCACACTTGTTAAAAGCACAAAAAACGTTGACCAATCCAAATTAGTTAAACAATAAATTCAGCCTGGACACCAATCCATCAGGACACAGTTTTCACCAATCGAAATCTTCTGATCGAAGTCCACTCGCGCTCGCGTTGCTGTCACCGATAAATGTCATTGTTATAAGAATAATGCATTTGTAAAATCAGTTTTACATTACATTAAAAAGCTAATAAAATCTGAGATTCTGCGACACATATCTGAAACTTAAATAACCATTCTTAAACATTATTATGCTTTGGTTACACTTTTCAATAAATGCTATGCTGAAAGTGAATTTACATTGGGCTGAGATGGGAAGAGGACAAAGTGTTTAAATTCAAAAAGTTTGAGCTCCCGACACAGTGTGAAGCTTAAAATAAAACAAAAAAAAAAAAAAAAACGATCGAAAATGAAAAGTCAAGGCGTTTTCCATTCGCGCGAAAACCGAAAGAGTCACAAACCATCATTAAAGCAATTCAAAAGAAAAAATCGCTAAAAGCGATAGTGGGGAAAACATAAATGTAAGGAATGGTCTTACCTATCAAATATTCGCGCCTCCTTTAGAACATTTCCCAAATTTATATATGCATCCAAAAAATTGGGATCAAGAGTCACAGCTTTTTCAAAGTGATGTATAGCCAACCAAATTTCTCCCTGAGCGTTAAACACACATCCTAGGTTACTCCATGCAACTGCAAAGCCAGGACATGTTTCAATTGCCTTTAGGTAACAGGCCTAAAAATATAATATAAGAAAAAAGGTTAAATTTGTTTAAGATTTTTCCAATTTTCTGAGCTTGTTTTTCGAACATGCAAAATGTTAAAACAATACCCGTAGTTTTCTAGTTCACTAATTTAATGTATTTTACATACTTTAGCTTCTTCCAAACGACCGAGGGCCTTAAGAAGATTTCCCAAATCGCTGCGCACACAATACAGATCCTACAAATTTGCATATTAAAGCTTATATTTATATAGATATTTAAAGGAAACTTACAGGATTATATTGTAATGCTGTAATATATGCTTGTACAGCAGACTCCATGTCACGAGCAGCAACCAATGCAGCAGCCAAATTTATGTATCCATCAATAAAATCTGGTTTTAGACGTACAGCTCTACGGTAGTTATCTAAAGCTTCCTGTAACTGTCCGCGCTCTTTAAAAACATTTCCTAAATTACTAAAAAAAAAAGATTTTTAATGTGCTAAATAGAAATTTATCTGATATTTAGACTGTTATCTGCAACCAATGTGGCGTATCTGAAAGCTGCACTATTTTTCACTGATCGGCAGATTTTACGTACTATTTATGAAGCAGAGAGTAGGCATATAAATGTTGGCTGGCATAATCAGTGATACAGAAATAAAAACATTACAAGACCGGTATGAAATTAAGGGGTCACTTTACTCAGATTATTTAAGAAAATATTAAATAGTTAAGAAAAATTAAAAAAAAAAAATGTACACGTAAGTTTTGATTTTTAACATATTTACGGATATGTACATATGTCTAACTACAGAATTCAACGAAAAATTAACACGTAACAAAACATAAAATTAAGTAACTAAGTTAAACACTGGTTTTAGCCCCTTTTTATACCCGTTACTCGCAGAGTAAAAGGGTATACTAGACTCGTTGAAATAGAGTATATATATTCTTGATCAGGAACAATAGCCGAGTTGATCTGGCCATGTCCGTCCGTCTGTCCATTAGAACGCCTCGATTTCAGGAACTACAAAAGCTAAAATGTTGAGAATAAGTATGCAGCTTCCACAGACATAGACGCAGAGCAAGTTTGTTTCCAAATGTTGCCACGCCCACTTGAACACCCATAAATCGCAAAAAACTCTTAAGCCAACACTTTTAAATTTTTTTTTTATTTTTTGTATGTTATTATTTTTTTCCCACCTTTTTACCGATATATCAGAAAATTTTGAAATTTCACGTTTGTACTTCCACTAGCTGGGTAACGGATATCTGATAGTCGGGGAACTCGACTATAGCACTCTATCTTATTTTTTTTGATTGTCTATCTAAACTGATTGTTTTGTTATGTTTTCGACTATAGTTAAGAATTATAATCTTATTAATACTAGCACCATGAACTTCAAAAAGAAAAAACAAGCCCGTGTCATGCTTTGAACTTGTGATTTTTAATGTTTTTCAAATTTAACTTAGTCGTTCTACCCGTTTCTCGTAAAGTAAAAGTTCGTTGAGAAGTATGTAACAAGTTGAAGGAAGCTTTTCCGACCTTATGAAGTATAAATTTATGATAAGTATCACTAGCCGTCTTGATCTATATGAACGTCGCGATCTGGGGAATTATAAGTACGTTGCCACGCCCACGCAAATGCCCGGAACCACCACGCCTAAAATTTTGAAAAACGTTTTTGGATTTTGTGATTCAAGTTTCTATCAATATGTACAAAGTATTTTAATCACAATGTACCACTTTCTCTTTAAAAATGTTATATTTTTTTATATATTTTTATTGGTGTTATAAACTTTTATCGGACACGCCCCCCACTGTAACGCCCACAAATCGCCTAGCATTGCCACGCCTACACCTAAAAAATGTTTTTATTTTTTTATTTTATTATTAGTCTTCCCAATTTCTTTCGATTTGCCAAAAGAATTTTAAAATTGCTCCCTCGCACTCCCACTATCTGGGTAAAGGGTATCTGATAGTCGGGAAATGAAGCTCTCTTTTGTTTTGGCTTAAATAGTTTAACATAAACCTCATGCGTTTTTAAGTATGCCTTTTAGATTTTTAGTTTAAAGTGTGTTATCTAAAGCATTTCACAATTGTTAACATCATCCCTTTTAATGTTTATAATGTTTAAAGAAAACATTTTTGCTTCTTAATTTAACATTTAAACAATACCAATTGAGCAGTACGTTTTCCCTCACACATTATGACTTTTTGAATCCTGTTGATTTAAGCCCAAATAATCGATCCGCTTTTATAACCTGTTCTTCTCAGACCGCTTCTGACACAGGACACAACACAAGAACTACCCGATCTAACCTTCTCCTTCGCATTTTCCCTAGCTAAGTGAAATGCGGAACACGACTACAGCGTTGTCTCTTGTTTTTTTAAATTTCTAGAACTATTATGATTTCCAAATCTAATATTATTAAATATGTTGTTATAACCCCAGTTTCTTACGTTCTGTCCCTGTTGGGTGTAATTGTATCCATTTGAATAAAAATTGCCAGTCTAGATTTTATGATGATTTCATGATTTATGATTTTAATTCCACGCTTAAGATCGTTTATTACTATTGCACAAAGTGAGGCAATTTATGAAGAACATATTAATTTTGAATTGAATGAAATTCCGGAAATCCGTAATAAAAACTCAAATCCTAATCTGAATCCAAAACCACACAAATACCCAAACTCTATATCGACCAAGTCATACACAATATTTTCAACAAACCTATGTGGCGCACACACAAAAATTATTTCAGACCCAACCCATACATGAACATACAATATGATCAATAAAAATATATTTTGTCTTCCTATTCAAAATACATGATGTGAAGTTTCAACATTAAACGGCCCTATTACGTTGAAGAGCTTGATTATCTTGCCCAGAAATTAATCAACCATTTTACACAGTTTTTCTAATAATTACGATATGCTAAATGGCAGAAAATTGTTGAAAAATGCACAAGCACTTAAAAATTACAAAAATAGCACAGTTACTCTTTTTGACAAAACATATCAGTTAATTACTTCAGAACCGGGAACAACCCAGAATTTTTATATTAAAAAAAAAACCAGAACCAATTAAAAATTCAGGCCAGGATTCAATACAAAAAATATATTTTTCACTATTTGATTAGATCACCTAAATCAAGAGGAAACCTTAAAGTTCAAAGGTTTATTAAATAAATTTAAAAATCTTCAATATAAAGAAGGAGATAAACTAACATTTACAGGTACCATTAAACACATAACTTCATTTCACCAAATAGAAATGGACCCAGGATCAATATCTAAAACAGCATTCTCCACCGAAAGCGGGCATTATGAATACATTCGAATGCTATTTGGCCTTAGGAATGAACCCGCTACCAAAGGTCTATGGATAATATCCTGAATAATAGCATGAATAATATTCCACATACCTTAATGAACATTTAAATTCATTACAGCTAGTTTTTTTAAAGCTCGCAGAAGAAGCAAATTTAAAATTGCAGCTGGATAAATATGAATTCCTAAAAAAGGAAGCTAGTTTTGTCACATAGTAACCAAGGTATAATGGTTAAAAAAACAAACCCACTAAAAATTAATGCCATAGATTCATACCCAATTCCAAAAAAGGTAAAAGAGATCAGAGCTTTCCTTGGATTAACCGGTTATTATCGTAAATTTATCCCAAATTACTCAGACATAGCAGTACTTTCTCAAAATGGTCATCCTATATCCTTTATCAGCAGAACATTTAATGACAACAAAAACCCTCCGGAATTATTTACTCTCACAACAGTTTATCATTGCTAGTACCTTAGTACCTTAAAGGAACCGAATGCTAAGTTACAAAGATGAAGAGCCAAATTAAACGAAAACCAATATAAAATCGATACAATTAAAGGAAAGGAGAATTCAGTTGCCGATGCATTATCGAGAATTAAAATTGAAGAAAACCATCATAGTGAAGTTACTCAACATAGTGCAGAAGAAGACAATGGCAACCATATTCATTTATCCGAAAAACCAATAAACTTTTTAAAAAAACAAATAATTTTCGGTAAGTCCAAAAAAATAAAGTAGAGCATTACCACAATTTAAAATGATGTAATGACACTCGAAAAGGCCAAACAAATGTTACTTGATCAGTTTATTCATAGAAACATTACCATTTATACTGAGAGCGATGTAGATTTTAAAATAATTCAAAGAGCATACGGATAAATTTTTAATACCACCTACACTAAAGTAATTCTCTTTCTATTAAAGAATGTAAGTTCATAAGCCGAGTTCAAAGAAATTATACTTTAATCACATGAAAGACTTTTACATCCAGGTATACAGAAAATGACAAAATTATTTAAAGAAAAAGCCAACTACAAATATATATATATGGTAGATATTTATTCATCTGAGGGAAAACATTACATCAGTTGCATTGACATTTATTCTAAGTTCGCTAAACTTGAGCATATTAAAACAAAGGACTGGATAGAATGCAGGAACGCAATAATGTGCATTTTTAATCAATTAGGTAAACCCAAATTACTAAAGGCAGACAGAGACAGAGCTTTCTCCAGCTTGACTTTAAAACGATGGCTTAAAGCAGAAGGAATCGAATTGCAACTCAACACGGTAAAAAACGTTGTAGCAGACGTCGAAAGACTACATAAAACAATAAATGAAAAAATCCGTATAATCAATTCATCTGATGACAAAGAAGTAAAATTAAGCAAGATAGAAACAATCCTTTACACATACAACTATAAAATTAAACATGACACGACTGGACAAACACCTGCTCAAACTTTCTTAAACGCTGGGCATTCAATATTAGACACTCAAAAAATTAAAGAAAATAAAGTATGTAAAATAAATGAAGATCGACAGGAATTCAATATTAACACTTGATACAGAAAAGGTACAATAAAAAGAGGAAAATTAGAAAACCCATTTAAGCCAAATAAAAATGTAGAAAAAATAGATGAAGACCATACAAAATCAATACCGTTAAACTTCAACATGTTCCTTGGGAACATGAACCACGGGCCACAGTCAACAAATTCAAATAACCAACCCAGATTCCGACCTTAGCTACTTACTCTTCTCAAGCAATCCAATTCAAATACCAGAAGTATATGAACATCACTGTCTAAGAATTAATCTAACGGAATTCAATGTCATCACTGATTCTTTTGGTAACAAAATCACAGACTCGCCCCGAATAAAATACTTATACAATAAACTACTGAAAGAAATAAATTGTTTAACTATTCATCAGCAAAACAGGAAGAAACATGGACTATTTGACATAATAGGTTTCTCTTTTAAATTTCTTTTTGGCACTCTTGATGAAAATGATAGGGTACAAATAACAAAAAAATAAATCTAATTGCAGAAAATTCAATTCAACTTCATAAACTAAATGATGTCATAAGTTTTGTGAATGAAGGAGCGCAGAAGCTTACTAACTATGAGAATAACTGCAATAGTATTGATTCACTCGTTTATGAACTTAACCAATTTATTGTATACATAGGAATGGGCATGCAACTTTCCCGTCTTGGACTTTTTAATCGAAAATTACTCAATTACGACAAGTTAGAAAGCATTAACAATCAGAATATACTTTTCATCAAAACATCAACTTGGATTAACCACACAGATAACGAATTATTACTCATTTTACATATCCCTATAAACCAAAAAACCATTAACACCATTAAAATATTTCCCTATCCTGACCATAATGGATATCAGTTGGACTATTCAGATCAACAAAGATATTTTGAAGATGAGAATAAGATTTATAATCAAGATTAAAAAGAAGTTAACAATGAATGCATTAAAAATATAATTAAGCGTAAGAATCCAATATGTATTGTTTTTTTATACCAACTCTCTCAAGGGAAATTATCCAATACGTTAAACCAAATGTAAGTATTAACATGGAATTTAACTGAAACTACAATCTCACAAAATTGTAAAGAATTAAATGGGGATATAAAAATAAATTGAAGCAAAATTATAAGAATAAAACAATGTAATGTTAAGATTGGAAATGTTATTTAACGTTAATGCGAAAATTCTTTAAGTCTTGAATTTGATTCAACTCCATTGTATTTACCGATAAATGTCACTAAGATAAAAATGGTAGAACATAATGACGTTTTAAAATTAATTTCAGAAAATAATTCCACATTTTACATAACAGTAATAATTGTAATTTTTGTTATTAAAATTATTTTTTGTCCTATCAAAAATGTCTACACTACATCCAGTAACGTTCTTCTATTTAAAACTTAGAAAACAAGAAAAAAATAATCAAAAACCACAACAACAAATAGAACCGACACAAAACCAGTTGCCTTCATTGTACCATGTAATGCCAGCACAAGCATAGGCAACCCTTTTAAGGGAAGTGATATTTTCACATATCTATTATTGTTCGAATATATAAGAATATGATGAGTGTGCACGCAATGTAAACAATCCACATCCGGAGCTAGCGATGCCGCTCTCCCTAAGCGGCACTCTAAATCTTCAATTATTATATACAATCAATATGCCAAGCGGTCTCGCTCCCGAAATAATGTAATCAAATGGGCAGCACAAAAAAGGTTTTCGTCACTAAAATTTAGTCTAAGCTGAGTTAAAAAAAATAAAGACGTGAAAACTATTTCTCCAAGTTTTTTTTATTCTTAGCGTTGTCCTTAGTCAACTGACGGGACATTAGTTCGACTCATAAAACATAAATATTTCACTATATATAAATTTTTTTTTTGTTTTGGCTTAGTTTGAGGTACTCTCGTGAAGTTTTTACATTTTTAATGTTAATTACATAACTTTATACTCTTAAACTGCTTAAACAATTAAGCCGGTTTAACCTTCAGTGCGACTAATATAATTTTGCCGACTAGTGAATAAAATAAGATATAAAAACCTTACTCTCGCTCGAAAAAATCAAATTCTTAAGGATATAAATATATTAGAGTGGCAAATATCTCCCTTCCGCCCTTTTGTCTTTTGAATTTCACGGCTATGTACAAAGCGCTACAGAGCTCGTATTTGGCAATACTATACATAATTTGAAAGGTCTTGACATAACCTACAATACGACGCTATGCATGATTAGTTTGGATATTGCGTTCAACAGTTATAGACGTGTAAACATGGAGTTCACTAACGCCGAAATTCGCGCTATTTTAAAGTTTTCCTTCGTTAAAGGCAAATCCGCTAGAGAAACGTTCCGTGAGATTAATGGTGTTTTGGGGGATGGTACTCTATCACTTCGAACCGCGGAGGAATGGTTTCGACGATTCAGAGCCGTTGAAAACGACACCATGGATAAGCCAGCCGGCAGAAGACCTGTGACGACAAATACCGATCAAATCATGGAATACATCGAGTTAGACCGGCATGTGGCATCTCGTGACATCGCCCAGGAGATGGGAGTTAGTCACCAAACCATTTTAAACCATCTGCAGAAGGCTGCATACAAAAAAAAGCTTGATGTTTGGGTGCCGCATGATTTGACGCAAAAAGAACCTTCTGGACCGAATCAACGCCTGCGATATGCTGCTGAAAGGGAACGAACTCGACCCATTCTTGAAGCGGATGGTGACTGGCGACGAAAAATGGATCACATACGACAATATCAAGCGAAAACGGTCGTGGTCGAAGTCCGGTGAATCGTCCCAAACAGTGGCCAAGCCGGGATTGACGGCCAGGAAGGTTTTGCTGTGTGTTTGGTGGGATTGGAAGGGAATCATCCACTATGAGCTGCTCCATATGGCCAGACGCTTAATTCTACCATCTACTGCGTATATTTGAACAAAATCCGATCACTGTAACACTTTTTATAAAGCATTGAATAAAGAGCAAAAAAAGCGGAAGGGAGATATTTGTCAACCTATTATATTCCGATTATGTTTTCACAAATTATAAATTAATTCACATATAACATTACTGCATAATAAAATGAACATATAACAAAATTAATTCCCATCTGGTCCCAGTATGGGTGTCATAGTTACTAGTTTTTTGGTACCCGGCATTCTTAAAAGTGGCTTTCAATACTCCGTGCTTTGTCGTCATACACTTTAAAGGCGTCCTACATTTTTTGCAGTTATCACAAAAACCGACTGATGTTTTAAGTGTTTTGAATAAGGTCGAATGAGGTAATAAAATAACTTGTATGGTTGGTAGAAAAGTACTTACCTATAAGCTTCGGCCAGCACAGGGTTTTGTTTTATTGCCAATGTTGAGAATTGTGCTGACTTATCAAGACGTCTGCACTGAAAATGAATAGATGACAGCAACAACAAAACTCCAGTATTTGTACTGTCTTGGCGCCATAATTGCATACAATGCTTTTCCGCGCTTTCATAGTCAACAGCTTGGTATTCTCTATGAGCCAACTCAAGTAAACCTATATTATAATACAAAAGGATTTAAAAAGTTATAATTTTTGTACTGTATGTTGTGGAGAGTAAAATTAGCCTTTAGATAGAAATACATATATTCAAAGAATTATTTTTTCTATTTTATATTCCTACATGTGTTTATTTGCCAGAGACTACCAATGTATCGAAAACTTTTGAAATTTGATTACTATAAAAAATATTATTAAATTTAAAAAAGCTTCTTTTAAGTGATTTAAATTATTAAGAGACGACGAAATATTTTAAAGGTTTTGGATCACCAATGCACGATCCATACGATGAATTACTATTTCAAATTTTTGTACACTGTTTGGGTGGTTTTGAGTTTGCTAACGAAAGGGTAGTGTTGAATATAACTAATTATATTTGTAATGGAATTGAGGTACATATACATAAAGTAGCGGTAAGAACTTAATTCCTTTTTCACTGGCCGAGTCGATTTTGACATGTCTGTCCGTATAAACGTTTTGATCTCAGGAACTACAAAAGCTAGAATGTTGAAATTAAGCATGCAGGTTCCAGAGACAGACGCAGCGCAAGCTAGTTGACCCGTGTTGCCGCCACACCCACTCTACAGCCCACAAACCGCCCAAGAATGACACGCCTACACTTTTGAAAAATACTTTTCCATTTATTCATAAGTCTTGATTTTTTTAATGGTAATTTCTCTAACGCCCACAAAACCCCCAAAACTGCCACGACCACACTTTTGAAAATGTTTTGATATTTTTTGTATTGCTTAAAAATTTCTATTTATTTACTGAAAAAAATTGCCACTCCGACTCTAACGCCTAAAACTGTTCCACACTTTTCGACAGTTATACCAAAAAATTATACTTACATATAAAAAATTAAAATATAAAAATTATACTCTACGAGTTACGGGAATACAAATATTTTAAATTTACAAATTTGTGGGTGTGACAGTTTTGTGCGGTTTATGCGTAAAAAATGGTCGTGGCTAAAATATTGACAGAAATGGCAAGAAAAATATTACCATGAAAATATCTAAAAACTTTTTTTAAAAAGTGTGTGCGTGATCACTCCGTTCATACAGACAGAATTACATGCATATCCAATGAATTTATTATATCCGGGGACGACGTCATTTAAGGAACGTGAATGCTTATTTTCAAATTACTTTCAAATGAACGAAATTTAAGGAACATGAATGCTTATAATGTACTTTCAAATTTTAATGAAAAAAAAAATACTGAAAAAAAAACTGAATAAAAACTGGGCACACGAGAATTTCGGCGGTATTACCAGGATAAAGACCCCAAACACTGAACCGTAATTTTTAAATTACGTAATTACGCCAGCACAGTCCCCATACTTTAATGTAATCGAACATGTATGGGAAAAAAAAACATTGATATAAGGAGAAGGAAGATATATACGACCTAAAAGTGTTATCTTGAAAAATGACTAAAGTTGTCCTTAACCAGACATACAAAATATAAACTTTAAAATTAATAAAAAAAAAAAGGTTAACCGCAATGAAATGCACGAAATAAGCTGCGACATGAAAATCCAGCACATATTGATTTTGTTACATTTTTTCGTACGTAATATATGTAGCTCCAGAAACAAGACAGGGATATAAACATAAGTTTATGTACAGTTGCGAAAAATATAATAGCACCACCATAGCGTATGTTATTCTCGAAGATATAAATTAAGGTTGCGGCGCTGTTATTAGGAAATACCAATTTTTCTGTGTATTTTCCCTATCCGAATATAAAAAAATTTTTTTTGGGTGTGGGAAGGTCCAAAATAAGGAGAAACCACTATTTTTTCGGTTTGTTTTGGTAAAAAGCACATGGTTATAAAAATTGATATTTGTATTATTATTTCCATCATTTTTGAAAACCTACCTTCAAAAAAATATTAAAATATGACGTGTAAGACAGTGCACTTCAGAAAAACGGAACATGATAAAAAACTCATTTCTGAAGGAAAATCAACACTGAGAAGCCCGACACAGCTGCTTCCGAACTGAAAAAGGAGCTCAACATATCCGCAACAGTGCAAACGGTTCGCACAAGTCTCAAGGAACATGGTTTAAAAGCCTGTAGTCCAAGGAAAGTCCCTCTTTTAAATGAGCGCGTTAAGTTCGCCAAGGAACATTTAGATTGGCCATGCGAAAAATTGAGGAACATTTTATGGTCAGATGAAAGCATGGTGGCAAGGGATCTCGATCGTATGTAAGGCGCCCTAGCGTCATCGAAGAATATGAACCAAATTACACAGACAAACAAACACGGAGGATCCAGTGTAATGGTATGGGCTTGTTTCTCGTACTATGGAGTTGGGTTAATAAATTGGATAAAAACCATGTTTATCATGGATCAATATGTGTATGTGTATATATTGGAGACGGTGATGCTACCACAGACATTAGAACTAGATGCGTAACGCCATACGTTTTTTTTGCGCACGTTTTTTTTGTGCTGGCTCTAAAGCTGGCTCCAGGTTCTCTAGAATTTTTGTTAAAGAGCCAGAGAGAGAAGCGTTCTAGAGCCAGCAGCTCTCTTTTACGCGAAGGTCGACCACTGTATCTGTGCACTAGTGTGTGTATTGTAAATTTGACAAAATATGCCCTTCATTTTAAGTTCAAGTTTATGGTCTTTTAATCTATATTATTTTTGATCGATTGCCAAGAATTGATCGATTGGAAAATCTCTAATTTGTCATTGCCTTAAAATAATTATTCGAATACAGCATAGAAATAGTAAAAGATGAATAAATGTACATAATAATACTTAATTAATTTCTTAAATTACTTTATACTAGAAAATTTGTCTTTAGATTATTCAGCTTGCGACGTGGAAAACATATTTGAAGTTAGTGATTCTTAGGTGCGCTGGTCCTGCCTCAAGAATTCAATTTTGCAACAAACCGGTTGCATACGAAGTTTTTTAACTATATATTTAGTATATTTATTAGTACAGTATACAAGTAAAAGAAAATATTATCATGTAAATGACCAATTTTCAGTATTTGAAATGAAAATATTATTTAGTTTAGTAGTATTATTTTGTTATATTATAATTTGATATTTTTAAAAACCGCGCAGTTTTGAGTGGGTAGGAAAGCGCGCCAAACTTATTGTTTCTTCTTTTAGTTCCTCGTAATCCGCTAGCTTAAAGCTGACAAATTTTATACTCAATATAAGTTGATTTTCTGATTTAGTGAAGAATAATAATATAAGTACGATAAGTAATTGTGCTAAGTACTGCTAAATAATGAAAATTTTAGAAGTGCACTTATTATTTTCCTAATTTTGCGCTCTTATATAACGAAAATTTCTAACGAATATTAAAAAATAATATAAATAAAATTTTGAAAAAATTAAATTAAATTCCTTTCCTAGATAAAAATGAATTTCGGACTGAAAATCGTCTTCTAGCACACATGCACACTTTGTAATCACTGTTTTAAGTCACACAAGCTAGTTAATTCTATTTTTAGATTTTTATGCTCCCAATTTTACGCGAGCGGAGAGAGAACAATTATTGCCGTCACCAAAAAAGTGGCTGCATAGTGCAGAACCAATGTATGGCCGTTACGCATCTGGTTATTCTAGTGTCTTTAATGCCACCCTTTGCCGAAAACGATATGCCGCTAAAATGGGTCTTCCAACAAAACATGACCCAAAGCACACCAGCAGGAAAGCCAAGAATTGGTTAAAAAATCTATTTCTATTTTTGAGTGGCCTGCACAGTCCCCAGACCTTAATCCATTCAAAAATCTTCGGATCAAAATTGTTCGGATATTAAAAACACATTTGTAGTTTCTAAGCCAACTAACAACAAAAGCCTTTGGGCTGTAATTAAGGAGTCATGGGTCAAAATATCCCTTAAGCGGTGCCAGGACCTGGTTGACTTCATGCCAGTTGCGCAGCTGTTATTGCTAGTAAGGGATACACTACAAAATATAAAATTAGTGGTATTGGCGTAAAATTAATACGCAAACTTTTGTTATTACTGAATTTATTACTATTACTATTACTATACTATTTATTACTATTGAAAATTTAGGAATTTTTCATGAAGTTGTGTTTTTTTATTTTTTGCCTTATTTTGTCGCTCTTAATAAAGTTCCTTCGTTCGACAGTGCCGAATTTCTTTTCTTATTTTTTCAGTTGTCAAAATGATTAGATCAGTAATATTTTATTGTGCGGGTAGGTTACTAAGTAGAGAAGAAGTACCGTTATTTTCACCTCTGTAGCTTTTGCATTCTTTTTTTGCCATTCGTTTTTATCCAGTCTCCCATAAAATTGGCTGGACACGAATTTAGCACACTTGACAAAACGGTGTATTTTTTTACAGTAATACATTTTTTTTTTTTTGTAACTTAAAATATTATGTTGGATATCCCTTATACTTTAAATACTTCATGAAGTCTATGTGGCAAACTCTCCACCAAGGCTGTCTTCTCTTCTGCGGTATGGCAGACCAAGCATTTTTTATTGTGGTCTATAGTTTATTTAAATTGCTGGGTGTTACAAGTCCAATCTGCTTCTCAACATCCACCTGAAAATTCTCAATAGGATTGAGATCGGGGGACTGAGCTGGCCACTTCATAACCTCAATATTGCTATCCTGAAGGCAACTTTTCACTAGTCGTTATCGTGCATAAAACGCCACTGTAACGGTAAATTATTATCCGCATAAAGGATCATAACATCAGAGATTATTTTTTATAGACTTGTTGATCCATCCGGGTATCTATCTTGTGTATTGGACCCACACCATTACATTTCCTCCACCATGCTTGACCGTCATTATGTATCGTGGATGGTGTTGCATGTTTGGAGGACGACAAACATATTTTTTCCGTCTGATCCAAATTGCCAAAACTTGGATTCATCGCTCCAAAGCACATTTCTTCAAAAAAACAAAGGCTTGTTCATGTGCTTCTTGGTGAATTCAATTCTTGCCTTTATATTTTTTTTTGTGCTATATATATTTTTGCTGTGCTATACATCCACGTAGATTTTTTTCATTAAGACGTCTCATGGAAGACACATTTAGCCCTTGGGTAAATGAAATTTCATTTCTAATCGCCCTTGAACTTATGAAGGTATCAGCTCTGGACGCTTTCTGAATGAGACTTTCCTGCCAGGCTGTAGGCTTACGGGATCGGCGTCTTTGTTTTTGCCTTTTTGCATTACTATTGTTTTCAATATGTTTTAAAGCGTTATAAACCATTTTTCGAGAACAGCCAAAATCCTTTGAAATGGATGAAATTGATTTTCCCGGCGATTTTATGATTTGGATGAGATCTCGCTGTGCTTCAGTACACCAGCGATCTTTAGCCATTTTAGACCGAAGTTTTTTGTATTTACCGAAGTAAAAAAGCACAATTTATTAAGATCGAAAACATTCACTTGCTTCCAACTTAAAGTGCTCATGGCAAATAAAAAAGACAAAAGCTAGATGTGAAAATAACGGTACTTCTTCTCTACTTAGTAACCTACCCGCAATATAAAATATTACTGATCTAATCATTTTAACAACTGAAAAAATAAGAAAAGAAAATCGAACATGCATAGTGTGCTAAATAAGTGTCCACCACTGTATGTACCTCGAGCCAGGCAAAATCAATTGTATTATATTGATTTTTCCTTAATTCATTTGCCTTGTATACGATTTCTAACTTATTCATTTGCACTATGAGTATTAGTAGTGAATAGTTTACATGAAATCAACAAATTCATTAACTTTACTATATGTATTCTTTCAAACAATAAATAGATATGTACATACAATGAATGTATAGTAATGTACGATTGTTTCTTACCAACTGAGGAGAGAGATTGAATATCATTTTGTTTTCCGACCAGGTTACTTCCCGTTGAATTCGGATTTTGGTCTAATAATAAATGGGCCGCGGATGGCAGTTGCTGACTTTGTCCTTGAGATTGCATATTTCTTTGTCAGTTTGTTCAATATGCATTTAAATCCAACTTTGATAACATGTGTTTAAATCAATAAGTTACCATGAAGTAAAGACAGTGGATGTAGCTTACATGGTTAGACCTTTAAAGAAAAATAATATACGTATAATATAAATATGAATTGTTATAGATGCAACCTGATTCTACTATTTTCAAACATCCAGCTGTTAAAACAATTTACAATAGAAAACTGATGGATTACAAATATTACATCTTCATAAAATGAAAACTATGAACAGAAACTTCTAGGCTTATACCACATTCTTACGGCGACAAATGAAACATTTTTATAACATCATGAACATTAATAAAAACTTCTAGGCTTATACCATATTCTTACGGAGACAAACAAACATTTTTATAACATCAGTATTATACGGCATTTAATAATATATATCAGACTTGACTGCTTGCATTTTTGCTTAATATAATATATTTAAAATAAAAATAATAATATTATAAATAAAACAACAACAGGGAATGCTTGCCACAGAAAAAATTGTCTCCAAATGCGCTGCAGTTTCAAAACACCGAACAAGTTTCACTAAGTCTTCACCTAAAAACTAAAAAAGTAACACAGTGCTGATTGAATGCTGATTGATTTGTACAGCCATATGGTTCTTGTGCGCTTTTCTAATATTATCTATAAAATTATGCTGATCTTTTATTTTTCAATTGACCAACATGAATAAGCTTTCTGCTGTCACTTTAAAAAGTTATTTACTGCGCGCTGCATCGCTCAATTTTTGCATCTCTTTTCTACTATACCATCCCACTTGCAGGTTTTTTCTTTTAATTTGTGTTAAATGAAGTTTCCATATAAATTTGTATGTCTTGTTATTGCTTTGCTCCTCAATAAAAAAAAAAAGGTATACTTGATTCGATAGAAAAGGATCCTGATTCTTGATCAGGATCACTATCCGAGTCTATCTGGCCATGTCCATGCCAGTCCAGACGGGCTGGCTATTTGTATGAACGTCTCGATCTTATGAAGCATGGAGATTCCAGAGACATAGAAGCAGCACAAGCTTATTTCCAAATGTTGTCAAACCAACTCTAATTTGATTAGCATATTGTCACAAGCATATTGTCTTGTCTCCCCAGCATGAAATATGTGTGGGGTTAATGCTGAATATGCGGATTGCGTTTAAAAATACAAGATCTCTGCCATCCAAGAGCTAAAACAGTTTATTTGCAGTTGTATGTGGACGATATCCTTTCTGAAGCAGATTCCGGCAGCTTCAAATTGTCGATTATAGATCTTAGCTTATATACAAACCGATCTTTTTCGACCCTTCCTTGATATCGATGCTAAGAGATCCACTCTTTTGAGCAACCAAGCTCAAAAAGCTACTATCAAGTGGACCGTCCTTACAAAGGGTAATGTTTTAAGATCTATGAAAAATAAAATATTTTATTCACAAAGAAACATGAAAAAAACCTCAAATGGTCCGCTTAGACCAGTTTTGGCATACTTTTTGAAACATATCGGCCTTTATCTCACAACAACATGCTTTAATTTTGTCCTCCAATGCGTCAGTTGATAGTTGATAGCCCACAAAAAATAGTCAAAAAGCTTTAAATGGAACGACCTTGGCGGATAGCCAAGAAAAGCGAAATAAAATGTTCACCGAATTCGTCTCTCAATAAGTCCATTATTACGCATGGTGTGTCATGTGTCACCGTTTTGTTAAAACCACATGTCATACCAGTCAAGCTCTTGCTCTTGATTCATTGTTAAATTATAGACAAAACTGAAGATATTTTACAGTGAAACAAAAAACGAAAAGTGCATGAGCTGCGAAATCAGCCTTTAAAATAACCAGGGGCCGTAATATATACAGGTTTTAATACTCCTATAAAAACAAGATAGAATGCCATTGTCGAGTTCCCCGACTATCAGAAATTACGTATAAAAAAGAAAATGAAAATATTTAAAAAGTTTTCAATAGCGTGGGCGTGGCAGTTTTATCCGGTTTGTGAGAGGAAGAGTGGGCGTTGCAAAAAAATGTTTGGCAATCAAAAGAAATTTACAAGAACAAGGAAAAAATAAAAAATATCAAAACATTTTTCAAAAGTGTTGGCGTGGCAGTAGGGAGTGGCAACATTCAACATTCTAGATTTCCTGAGTTCCTGAGATCTCGATGTTCACACTGACAGACGGACAAACGAACATGGCCTGATAGAGTCGGCTATTAATCCTGATCAAGAATATATATACTTTATATAGTCGGAAACTCTTCCTTCTACCTGTTACATAGTATTCAACGAATCTAGTATGCCCTTTTACTGTACGACTAACGGGTATAACTACTAGCACCAGTTCCATGTGATTGGCTTGACTTATGTATATCGGACCGGGTATCAGCTTTTACTTCCCTAGACTTTCTGCAATACTGCGACGACGGAAATACAGGGGCAAGTAGATAGACTAAATGCTTTAATTATTCAAGTCCTCTAGTAGTTTCACTTCGAAATAAAAATGCCAGATATATGACACTTTTGCCTTCTAGTTAGTCCAATAGTTAATCAAACAGGTAATGTAAGACACGGAATTGACCGTTAATTCCCTTCATTTTCCCAGCGGAATGTTCAAAAATAAACAAAAAAAATCATACAGGATTTTCGTCTACCGAAGTTTCGAACACAAAAGTCAAGACTAATTCTGATGAGGCTCTGCCCCTGCCTCTGCTCAAACACCATATTAGTTGTTTTTTTTTTTCGAAATAGTTCAGATCAGTGGCCAAAAATGAGAGTGAGTGTTGAGAGAGAGAGAGAGAAACCCTTTTAAAAAGTGTGTTTATATTTATTAAATTAAATTTTGTAAGAATTTGAAAGGTCGCTGTAGACAATGTCAAAGCGTCCATACTTAATAATTTGCCCTTTGTAATTCTAATTAGAGTGGATCTTTATGGTCGGAAATCCTTGGCACGCGCTTGGCACAATTTTATGTTTCGTTAGCAACGACCAAATGAACTACAATTTAAATGGGCCACGCTTTTTTTTAAAGATACGTTTTCATGTGACTCTAATTTCTTTTCGGCGAATTTGTACCAATTTAGTGAAAAGATCCCTTAGGAACAATGAAAACGTTAAATTTTTGTTTTTAAATGTCTTCTTTTTATAAAAATTATATAAACCTAAAATTACATGAAAGATTCCACAAAAAAAAGCAACCCCAAATAAAACGTGATTTTTCCAAGAATATTGCGAAAAACCGTTATAAAATGGCTTAAAAATATCACACTTAAAAACATCTAGCAATTTAACCAAAATGTAGCATTGGTTTTTAACGCGATGATTATAAACCAATTTCTTTGGGCGCGCGATTTTATGGTGAATTGATGAATACCTTAGTAACGAGACATACCGTAACCATCATAAAGTAGAATATTCAAATGTTCAGTACGCTTTAGAACAAATTTGGGTTGTAATGGTAACACAAATACATATAGATTGTATGCACCTTTTTGTGTTATACGTGTTATGCGAAAATTTGTAAAAAGAATAGTTAAAAATAAAATAGAGCAAGAATATATGGTTTCCAAACCAAGGAAATATCCGAATGTTTGCTATCGATAAAAAGAGTTTGCCTTAAAACCAAGAACGTTGGATCATTTGCCACATTGGAAAGCCTCGGAGTTTAGACAATTTTTATTATACACTGGTATTGAAGCTCTTAAAGATACAATTCATGATTACCAATATTTCTTATTTCTTTAGCTGCATTAGGCTTACACGTTGCTTTCCTCTCAGTTGCACCGAGACTCAAAACATAAATAATACCCAAACCATATGGTGGGTTTATTCGGGAATAATATCACATTTTTTTTGGAGAAAGTAAGAAAATGTTTTATACAATTTTTACGGTTTACTTCATGTAAAAGAGACGATTAAGAAATCGGTTATCCGGTTTCTTCTTAAGGGAACTATTTACAAGCTCCTCAGAGATTTCTACGAGAGACGACACAAACCTTACAATAAATTTATCGGAAGGTTGTTGAAGATAGTGAAATTTGAGTGGACGTTGATCCTCTAAGGTTAGAAGGTAGTGTTCTGAAGTTGAAGGGATATACGCTTTGGAATAAAAGGCGAGATAGTTATTGTTATGTAAAAGAACACATATCAATTGAAGAAGATTATTTTGAAGAGGATGCAGAAGGTATGGTTTCCCGTCACTCGTAGCGTAAAAAATAGTATACTAGTTTCGTCGACAAGCAATTTCCTAGGAAGTCCCGAAGAATTCTAGAGGAAATCCTTAAGAAAACTTAATGAATTGTAGAATAAATCCCGAGGATTTTTCATGCATTTGTTTTCGAAATTCCCCAAGGAACTTCTCGGGAAATACCTTGCTCTTTTTTTTGTATATTCCTCAGCAAGTCCTCGGGTATTTCTCCCCATTGTATGAAAATTCCTCGCCTCTTTGTATGGAAAATTTCCTAGGATTCCTTGGGGACTCCTGCGGACTCCAATAGGACTTCCTTAAGAAATAGTTCGGGATTGGTACTGAAGGGTGTTAATAGTCAACAATTAATCAAAACACATGGAAAACCTAATTTATTCATATGAATAACAGCGTTTGGAAAAATTTGCGAAGCGATAAGGAATCCGAGGGGATGTTAGACAGAGCCGGTCAGATTATACTTGATAAAAAGATCCCTAAGAAACCGTAACATGTAAATCTTGAACAAATATCAGAGGCTTCTGGAATGTGTATTTCTTTAATATTTTTGTACCATAAAAGATTAAGAAAGGATTTCACTCACAATCAAACACAATCTTTCCTGCTTTTTCGGGTTTTGGACTCAAAATTGAGGAAATTACCATATCCTGTCACTTTCCACCGCGACCAATCCTTGATCGTATTTTTTCGACGCGCATTATTCTGATATACTCCTGCATGAAATTCCGTTATGACTCATCTTCTCAACGCTGACCAAGCGCCATATACGTATAACACGAGTGACATAACTGACAGCACACTTTGGTCGTCCTTCCTCCACACATAACCTGTCCTGGTATCGTCGCCGATTTTATTGTGTTGGCTCCAGGCTCTCTCAAATTTGTACTCAAGAGCCAGAGAGAGAGAGAGCGTTCTAGAGCCAGCAGCTTTTTTTTACGCATACAGCGAAGGTGGACCACTGTATATGTGTGTATTGTAAATTTGACAAAATATGCACTTCATTTTACAAGTTAATGAATCTATGAATCTAATGAATCCAATCTATATTATTTTTGATCGATTGCCACCATGTAAAAACCCTTAGTTTAGCATTGTCTTAACATAATTATTCGAATACAGCATAGAAATAGTAAAAGATGAATAAATGTACATAATGATACCTAATTACTGGTAATGATACCTTATGCTAAGGGATCCAAGTTGTAAATGAATCATTTAACAGCTTCATGAGCTCTCATACATGAGAAAAACTACACGATAGAATCGGACTTTGGAAAACTAAAGGCACCATCTGTTTTTTTTAATATCTTCAAAATACACATCAAAGGTTTTGAATATTTTAAAAAATAAGAAAAAACAACTGTGTTGTAGAGCAATGCATTAAGTGCACAAATAATGAATGTTATGTGCATCAAATTGATCTTTTAACAAACTCATAAAAGTTGTACTTATTAAGCATTGCAAGTGCATTCTATATATCTCATAATGAAAAAATTAGTTAAAATTCCCACATGTTAAAAAATATTCAAATAATTGACGACTGAAAATAAATATATATACATAAAATATATCGAAAAGCAATAATTAGAAAGGTAAAATAATTGCCGTCACCAACATTTTAAATAATATTATATTACAACGAAATTGACCAAAGCATTAATCAATTTCGTTTAATAGATCAAAATTGATTTCGGACTGAAAACTTACTACTTACTACTTCCGAAAACACACTTTGCTTACTGTTTTCACTCACACAAGCAACTGTATTCTCAATTTCACGCGAGCGGGGAGAGAGCAATCATTGCCGCCACCAAAAAAGTGGCTCCATAGTGCAAAACCAATGTATGGCCGTTACGCATCTTGTTATTCTAATGTCTTTGGTCAGACATTGGTGATGGCATAATTGCTCAAAGACAACCAAGCCCAGCTTAGCCACATACGATCCATGTCTGGCAAATCGTCTCGTTCTAAGTGGAAATCCTATGTGTCCAGACTAATAATTAGTTTCGTTACTCAGCTAAAGAAATCAAGGAAAATTAAGTAATTTGGAGAATTGTCACCAATGATTTAACCACACTCACAATCTTTGAAAGCGTGCCAATTTTCAGATGTTTTATTTTACTTTTTTTTTTGCCGAGAATTAGGCTGTGTTTAAATATCTGCATTGTGCTTTTATTAACTGAGGAACGGGTATCTAATAGTCACTATCATTCTCTTAGAGTTTAAATTGCAGTCAACTACACTTAACCCAATGAATACTTATTTCGTAAATTAAAAGAAATTATTTAATCTATCTATAAAATAAGTTCCATCAGGACATTTACTTATGTGCGTACCATGACCCGACAACTATTTTGGTTAAATCCAAAACCAGAGTCTGCGGATACGCGGTAGAAAAAATTTGGCAAAATAACACATTTCTTAGGGAACCTATTCATTGGAATCCTTTATTCTAAAGATTTTGTGCATCGAACCCTTTTCAATGATTTTGGGCCCATTTAAATTTTAGTTAAAAATATTCTTTTTTTGTAACACATTTAACAATACGTATTTTTTTTCATTTTATTTTCTTGCTTCCTATTTTGTATATTGGCAGCATTAACCCAAAGCATTGTGTTTCATTACATTAAAAGGGAATTAAATATTTTTCTGAAACACCATTTTATTTAAAAAAGAAATAGTAAAAGCTTTTACTTTATACGGATTTATTTCAATTTAATTTGGCCACTTTTAAATTTAAAAAGCACACAAACAATATTTGTATAAATATGTGACCGCTAATAAAATAATAAAGTGTTTGTTTGTACACAGATATTGTGCATATAACCTATAGCGAGGAAAATCTAATCTAGCTGTCTGATTAATTTCAACGAATATATATATTAAGATTTCATAAAGTGGAATAAATAATAACTTCTGATATATGTTATTAGGTATATGTCTTTACCTTTGCAAACATTTATTAATTAATTTAAACTTAGACAGGCTATATGTGCATAAGTGGGTTACTTCGCAATAGTTTAATTAGCCATTAATTAAAATATAAGACCAAAGAAAAATAAATTTACCTTTTATATATTTATGAGAAGACTAACTTATAATTGGTGTATTATTAATTTATAAATGTTAGTTTATTTAATCTTGTGGAACTCCTCCATGCATAACTTGCAGCTCCAAGAGCCCTCTGGTGGAGTCATAAGCGGTGGTGACAGGCAGTACATATGGTATCCCCGGTCACAATCGTCACAAAATAATAGTTGGTCATCATTATCAGAGGTCCCACAGATGGAACAGTACTTGCATTCAATGCATTGCCAACGATAACGTTTTACTGATATAATCATGTTTGCCGTGAACTGCAGACATGATGGATGACCGGAACGACCACAATCCGAGCACGATACAAGCTCTTCGGGCATATTGGTTTTTTTATTTTCTCGCTGATCTCCCAGACAAAAGTCACAATAAGGTGATGGTTGGGCTATGTCACGTTCAACACGTTGTTTTACCTTATTAGCAGTAGCAAACACCGGTTGATTTGTTCCAGTTTGCACTGAAAGCGCATTGCAAATATTTGAGGTTGCCAGCCCCGCGTTCATTCCAACCATTGTTGCTAGAGGAATTGAGTCATTGGAAGCTCCAGCATCGCTTGAAGTCTTTTCGTACGACGACGCTATGTTTGTTGGCACTATGAGTGCTGACTGTGAATTGTCGTCATTTATGGGAATAGGCGAAGCTGAGTTTGAATGAGATGCATAGAGCCCTGTGGTGGCGGCAGCAGCTGCAGTACATGCTGCATGTGCGACAGCGGCAGCAGCTGCCGCTGCGGCTGCTGATGTGTTTGCACTATTTCCACCGCCTCTACGTTTTCGATCAGATTCTCCGTCAACAGCATTCTTCCGACGATTGCCTAAGGTATTAATAATGTTTAAAATTCATTAATAATGTAAAAAATTTGTACTTACCACCACCTTTACGACCCCGTTTGGGAGTGCCTTCTACGTTTGCATTTGTTCGTCGAGGTCGCGTACACTTTTTGCGTTTGCCCCTGCTGGTGTAAGACTCATCAAAATCGTTATCTGAATCAAAGTCATCCTCAAATTCATCGCCATGATGATAATGTGATGTGTCCATTTCATCGTGGAACCACTCCTTTTCAACGTTTGCATGTGAGTCCTTACTATCATTATCTCCCGATGCTCCCATGGAGTTGCCATCAGTAGCAGCAATGGCTGTACATAAAAAACGCAATAAATATGAAAGTTATTTAAAAAAAAAAATATGTTTCAGTTATGTATTCTGATAACAGCTGCAATTTTCTCTTACCTGCGCTTTCAGCTAGGTGAGGATTTTGTGGTACAGCAACGCCAGACGAAGGTATATGGTGGTGATGCTGATGCGTTTGATGGTGGGAGTGCTGAAGATTGTGCTCGCGATACTGATAGGCTCGGAAACTTTGATTCGGGTTAAGTAAGTACTGACGCTTTGGTTTGCGCCATCGGGAAGATGGATAAGTGTATATCTGACCATGTCGAAGTCCCGGCATTCGCTGTTTTTTTTTCATAAAGAGAGAACAATGTGTCTGTGCGACACCTGTCTGGGGATCGAGGAATGGCATGCGAAGTCGGCGTTCAATGCAAAGACGAGTGTTAAAAGTCTCACTGTTTTCAAGAATCTCCTTGTACTTTTCCTTGTCATTTAAAAAGTTTTGATATTTCTCAAAATTGGCTATGTTTACTACCAAAGTTTTTTCGTAAGCAGATTTAGAAGCCATGTTGATGTCGTGGGGTAGCCGCAGAAATTAGTTCCTTGAGCAAAAACTAACTAACCCAAATTGTCAACATACTTTTTTTTTGGCCATTGAGATAAATAATGGTTTATTCACACACAATTCAAACTATTAAATATAAAATAATAAAAATTGTTATGAGGCACTAGGCAAGAAGTACAAAAATTAATTTCCAGAAGAGGTGTGAACGTATTTCTATTTTTAAATAGATACAAAATATAAAACAAGTCGTCGACGATTTTTATTATAAACTATTTCCACATTTCCCCGAGAGCTCCCTAATGGACAATTCACAACTCCTTCAATCGAAGCGACCCATTCACAAACAGGGCTGTTGCAGGAGTTTATGATCAAGTAATGCAAAGTAAACCAAAACTATGAAAGGTGAAATTATTAGTAACCATTATTATTTCCTTGATTGAAGAATTTTTTTTGTATTCCGAATTTTATGTCGCATTGACTTTTGATTTAATTTTCCAAAGTGTAACAGGCTTATAATGCTCAACAGCTGGTCATGTCGTCTGATTCATGTATCGATTCTAACTTTCGCAATCGATCAAGGGACAACGTACAATCATTATTCAAATATGTTTTAAGGGTTATAACCTATATATCCAATTTTGTAAAATTCGTCTTAGATATATTGGTGGGAATAATAAACATCACATGGGAGTTACGTTTTTACACTTGTTTACTTATTTACCACAGAGGAGCGTGTCCTCGTCCCGTGTAATTATTTCAGTAGCATCGTATTTGACAATTCTATCAGAATTTTGAAATTTCGTAAGGTGTAGCTGCATCAGGAATTAGGTGACTGATCGCAGGTATATTAAAATGAACACAACAAAAAGAGCAAACACGAAATCAAAAGAACATAAAATCGCCAAGTATGTATGTATGTAAAGAAAAATATCGATATCGACAAATATTATTTGCAATATAAATAACACATACTTTAATTTGAATTAAGCGATCTTAAAAAAATCGATAAGTTATAAATAATAACATTTTTAATCATGTTGTGGATCATGTTTTTTTTTTTATTTTTTATTTTTATACTTGAATTTGTTATACAATTTTGAACAGCCGGACAGTGAGTTCCCAAAAATTGCAAAAATTACTCTGACATTCAGGACACCAACCAAAACAACCTTTTTCCACACGTCCGATAACAGATATTTATCAAGCCAACACATTAACTCGTGTGCCTTTTAGCACTGCCAACTCCATAATGTGCACTGCCAAAGATATTGTGTCTGAACCGCAGAGCGTCTCTTTCAACACTTTCTCTATCGTCTCTTTCAACGTTTTATCGTCTCATTCAACGATATGGCGTCTCTTTCAACACCTTCTCTAGTTAGAATCTACGAACATGTCTGTAACGTCTCTTTCAACGTTTTCACTCTCATTGGAATCTACCAATGCGTTCTCATTACACATATCCAACTCTCCGGGAATCTCTTTTATCGGCATACTTCTCAAGGCTTCAAGCGAATACTTATATGTTCGCTTAATAATTAAATATTTAAAGACAACTGTCTCCATCCATCACTTCTGCGCGTTGTAACTGGCCATTTGCGCGACTGGAGCCTGTTGCAATTAAGTGTACATTTATTTTTTGCTTTGAACAGAATTCATTAAAACTTGATCCAGTAAGAGATCTACTCTGATCTGCAATGATTCGCGATGGTACACCCAATATGGATATTGCCGATTTTAGAGCGTCTATACAACTTTCGCTGTTCATATATTATTTACTGTGTGGCACAAATAAACACACCTAGTAACCACATCTATCTGGACAATAATTGACTCCTTTTGATCCCTCTTTACACTCAACTTGCCCTCAATATCAATATGTATCGCATGCCATCAAATAACAACTTTCCGGATGGAGGTTTAATCAATTTGCAAGTTATACAATTTTCCACAAACTTTCGGACGTACTTAGGCATATTTTTGAACCAATAAAATTCGTACATTTTATCCAATGTTTTCTCTCATCCAAGGTGCACAACCGCGTCATGGACATGGTTTACTATTGACCATCTGAATGGTCTAGGGACTACAGGGAGGCAACTAGTTTTTCCATTTCCCTGGATTTTGCAATAAAGCATTTTTGCTAAACTTTAAACTTTTTGTTTGTTGTTTTGAATTTTCAAAACGCTGCAGTTTCTTGATCTTTTTGTTGCTCGGCAAGAAGCCAGTTGTCTGTTATTTCGGCTAACAAGACATGCTTAACTTTTTTCCTTTGTAAACGACTGCTCAATCGTTATGGCTGATAGCGGATTACGCGAAAGAAAATCAACATGAGCCATTTAAGTACCTGGTGGATATCAAAGTCAAAAGATTGCATATACGCCCATCAACGTTAAACTCGTGGCGTAAGATCAATTTTACTGCGTGTCTCTTTTAGCGAATTACAATCAGTAAATACAGTGAAATGTCGTCCATGTAAATAATGCCGAAAGTGTTTTATGGAATTGTATATGGCTAAAGTTTCAAGCTCGTATGAATGATATCGAGATTCGGTAGAATATGTTTGCTTGCTATAATACTCGATAAATGAGGGTTATGGTAAATTTTATGAAGAATAGCCATCCATACTAGCATCAGTGTACAACTCAATGGGATATTGCGGTAAAATATAATAAAAACTGGCTCATCAGTCAATATTTTCATAACCTTGCTGCGGATCTGCTCATGCTCTGGTTTCCATTCGAATATTTTACTTTTACAAGTAAGACCATACAACGGTTTCATTAGTTCTGAAAATGTTGGTACACATGGCCGAAAATATGATGCAAGACCAATAAACTGTCTTACTTGGGAAACTAACTGTGGAGTAGGTAAATTAATTAATGCTCTTATTTTCCGCGGATTGGGTCGAATTTCACCCTCCTTAACTTAAAAACCAAGATATTCGACGCATTTTTTAGAAACGAGCATTTTGCGATATTCAATGAAAACCCAACTTTGGATAGAATTCTTAAAACCGTACTTAATCTTTCAAAGGCTTCTTCTTTAGTTTGTAGACTATACTTATAGTTTCTGATAAGCTTAATAGAATCTGGCGAAAACCGCCATATCTAAACTAGTAAAAGTAACAGCGACGCGTAGCCTATTTATTTGCCACATGTACACTTTTTTGTTTACTGTTTTCACTCACATAAGCAAGTGAATTCTATTTTTAGAGTTTTATGCTCTCAATTTTACGCGAGCGGGAAGAGAGCAATTATTGCCGCCACCAAAAAAGTGGCTGCATAGTGCAAAACTAATGTATGACCGTTACGCATCTTATTATTCTAGTGTCTTTTGTTGGACCTTGTACCCGAGCGGGCCGTGCGCGAAAGTGGTAAATATATAAAAGGGTCTGCGCAAGCGCAGCTCGGGACAGTCAGCTACAGACAGTCAAATATGCGTAAATACGCGTAAGTGCAAGAGGACAATCGGGCAGAGTACGGGCGCAGTCCCTAAACACGCGAAGAGCCGTACGTGCGAGGGGATAACCAGTCAGTCAGTGAGAATACGCGAGAGTACGCAAAGAGCTGTACCCCGGGACAAGTGAACATTCAGTGAGAACGCGAGCGGCGCAGGAGGACGGTCCCTGAGAGTGGAAAACAAAGCGCGATCAGAAGGGTCAGTAGAGTCATTGGTCGGTCAAGGTGGTCCGGACTCCGGATACACCTCCCCACCATAACATCCTCAGCCCCAAGCCTAAACACGGGACCACGGTCGAGGACGTCGCAGGACAACGAAGGGCGTCGGCAGCGCACAGGAACCTAGCACGGTCAGAAGGGTCAGTGAAGTTATTGGTCGGTCAAGGTGGTCCGGACTCACGGACGATACACCTTCCCACCATAACATCCTAGGCCCCAGTCGAGCCGACACGGTCGTGAAACAAAGGATGGACAACGAGAGAGCGACACCGCGCAGCCGACGACGATAACCAGGAATCTGTCATTAAGGATAATAAAGCTGTTATAACCTAAACTCTGTCTTCTCTTTGGTCGGGCAATCACACAAATCATAAATTTGGTGGGACGAACACACAAGCTCTCTGAGCTACCCGTTGCAATTCGTAGCGAGCAAAACTAAAGAACACAGTTCGTTACAATATATATAACAAATATATTTATATATTTACTTTATGTACATATATTATTATATAAATATACATATTATATATATATATATATTTAATTATATATAATATACATATATATATATTTATAATATTAAAAATATTATTTAATTATTATTATTATTTAAAATATAATATATATATATATATATATACAATACGTTCTCAAGTGTGGGCGTCCGTTTTAGCATATCAATAGAAATTGGAAAGACAAATGATGTTTTAAAAAAATCTACACATTTTCCAAAAGTGTGGGCGTGGCAATGATCTAAAAAAAATTGCGGAGCGTTCGCGGTATTAGAATATGACTGCTAGATATGGATGGGCAGACAGACGGACATTACTAGATGGACTTAGCATTATATAGTCGGTAACATTAGAATAATTGCAAAACCAATCTATGGCCGTTACGCATCTTGTTATTCTAATGTCTTTGCTTTTACTATATACTATTTGTATTTGTCACTAAGCAATTCGGGAATGTCAACTTAACAAAGAATTACAAATAAGGATTATTAACCCACGAATTTTTTCGTTTATTTTGGAAAGCACGTAACTTCGTAAATACCACAAGAATATTTTCTAAACAAGTATTTCTAGCTTATAACGTCGTGTTTATTTGGTGTCCGAGGAGTACCCAAAAAACTATTTCATTTTCAACCGCACCGCAGAAATCGTAAGTTTTATTAAAAAAGGAAACACATATATTATTTAATCATGTATAAAAACAATATTAATTATATGTAATTAATTTTTGTAAATCAGGACGGATTATTACGCTTGTTAGATTGTAATCGCGCCAGTCCAGTACGTTCTTCCTCCTCATCGCTTGTATACTGATTAATGCTGGTTCCACTAGCACTTCCTACTCGTGCTGAAGACGTTGCCTGCATAAGCTCTTGGTCTGGTGCATTGCGGTTTTCATAAAGCAAGACTTGTAGTGTTTCTTCGTATATACGAGCTTCCGGAAATTCAACTTTGGTATGCTTTCTGTCAGTGGCATAAACTATTGAGGTGCAACATACTTCAGCTACTTTTTTGCC